TCGAGAGACTAAGAATCCTACACCTCGCAAAGGATGCTCACCTAAATTAAGCACGGAATAAGTTGACAAACTTGAGATCTTTGTCCGGGAATTTCCTGAAAATCGACAGAAGTGCTATGTGGAGCCAGCGATGGGACCCTGCAACCACTGGGTGGGATGCAGTGAACGTTTAATTTCTAATACATTCAAAAAAAGAGGTAATAGCAGACGCATTGCTCGGGAAATGCCTCCGATAAGTGAGGTTAACATGGACGAAAGATGTGTAGCGGTGATAGAGGCAAATGAAGGGTACATAAAGTATTAGGATGGAACAGACTAATTCAAAACATGTTGTACGCTTTCAATTTACTTGCGAGCCATACTTAGGGCTTTGATGTAGACTTTTGTAATACTGAGCGACTTTTTTCGAAATAGATATGTATTTTTAGATAATATCAATTGATTTTTCTAATATTGAATTTTAAATGAGGACTAATGTACATTCCCTTTGGTGTTGAGAACCGTCTTCATTAATTTTGACTTTCACGGTATATTGTTGGATAGTACCCCTGCTTGCATAACTAGTCGAATAACTAGACATGGGCCTGCATGAAGACCATACTAATTAAGGCATTACGTACAGGGATCTTACCCCAGTCATTTTGACAATTGTACTATTACACCCCATAAGTGTGACGGCTTGTGAGCCGATAAGTCCTGTAGCCTTCGATGGCTATCGAAGGCAACCTATATTCTCTATCACTCCGAGGATTATCAGCAGACGAAAACTGATATGATATCGCCACTGAGGCTACGTAAAGGATAGTGCCAAGAGTATCAGAAGCGTTACCCGTGTGGCAGAACAAACCATTAGTCAGTTTCATTGCCACTGTAAGTGTAGGCTAGATTTAGATACCTCTGGATGTGTATAAGTAGTAGAGTAGACTTTCAAGTGGTTTGCTTCTACATAGATGAATTATAGCTTTACCTTTCAATCATACAAATGCCCATTCGCTTTCTATATTCGAACTGTGACAATAAGAGACTATAGGACTACCTTCGAGCGTGGCTCTAGCTTTCTGAGCTGTCTGTGCCTCGGTAGAAGGAGATGGGGAGGATTTAGAGCGAACTAGGCCCTGTGACTCTCTTGTTGAATAGCCCGGAGCCTATTTTTGTCTGGTCGTATAAGGACGCCGTTCGCACGGTATGGACAAGCTGGAGAGTGAAATATATAAAATTGTGAAGTTATGGAATACAGAGATAAGTCAGGTGATGAGTAATGGTAGTTATTTGTATGGTGAGTGGTTATTGTCCTAATAAGTCTATAACTATGTAAGGACATGTAGGTCCCTTCTATCTACAGGCCAGGAGTATCTTTGCCTCGGGTAATGTACTCACTCTTAAGCCTCCTTCACGATTTCTTTCCAGGAGTAATACCCCCATTGGTCTTCATTCGAGGCCACATTAAGAGGAGCCGTCATCCTGTCATTATCTCCCCTCTCCAGCCAGCGAAACGATGGCCATTTGCGGGTGTGTAGCTGCAGGGAAAAGTCTCAAAAAATACTGGGTGCGGGTCTCTCCTATGACAAAGAGGTCGGCCAGCCGGGCTCAACAGACCTGTGTATACCTTAGAGTGTCTTGCAACCTTCCTAGCCTCCTCCTCCTCACTCCTCCCATGATTCATGCCGCAGGACAAACCAAAGGTCGTGAAAGGATGTCAGAAATTTCTAGGTCAAGGGTGACTGTCGTGAAGGAGCCTAGCCTAGCATCCAAAAGTCGTTACGGACGTGGGGTCGTCAGGTAACTCATATATCTCAGACGCCCTCCTGGCTAGTAGATTCGGGAGTTTAGATTAGTAGGGACAACAATGTAGACGAGTCGAAATCTGCTTTTCTTGAGGACGGAAGGGTCTTGTACTTCACTTTCGTGGGCTTTATGTTCGTCTGCCGGTGGGTAGCACTTGCTGTGATATAACGACGGCTTCTCTGACTATAGTTGTAGCGTTTGTTGCCACATTATCTTTCCTCGCTCTCAGCATCATTATCATTGTCTTGGTCGTGTTATGTGTTATCGGAAGCGTATCTTTGACGGAGGGGGAGATGACTCAGCTCAAAGTTGAAAAAGTGATGTTTCTCAATCTCAGCTCTGCAGACTCTACAGTGAGAGCCGGAGGTTCGTAGGGGACACCACTGACAGGTGTCGAGAATAGTCCCCCTTACGGCAGTTATTGACGAAGGGTTTAGTTGTTAAGTTTTCTATTATTCTGTGTTGGGATGCACTTTATCGATCCTACTAGGCTCGATCTGAAGTAGTTCCGACCAACTGGTGTTCGAAAAATAGAGATTGTGTAATCCATATGTTAGCGTTGTTTACTACTCTTCTTAGGAGATGCCTCACGAGCTATCCATTGGTATGAAAAGTCTGGTACCTGTGTTTAGAAGAGTATTTGAATTGACACCCTTTTATCCTACATGATTGCATAAATTTCCCTCTACCAACAAATCTACGAATAAAGTAGTTTGTAAGGTTTCTGGAGAAATGCCTTTGGCGGGGCTTATGGGTTCATTGTTTAACCCCACTATGATCTTTTTTTGCATCAGAATTTAATTGCGTATGCAGTTATCTAGCTTTGACACAAGATCAAAGAAAAGCACAGAATAGATGATTCAACGTAAAGGAAGAGAACTCATGCCTCGGATTTCATTTGCCCACTAGGCTTTATTGCCCAGCGAGGATAGTTATTTAGTTTTTATTTCCGAGACTGAGATCTTCACGCTTTGCTTTCTGTCTTTAGGAATAGTGACATAATTCTAATCACATCTTATTCTCGTCCTCTGCCAACCATAACGATCTACTGTCACCTCCGGCCACTTAATCTAGAACGACCCCCCGCATTCCTCTTTACCACCTCTCTGGGAAGCACTCTGCGTTCTCACGAGGCGTCCCTTATAAGGAAATGGTTAAACTGTTATTTGCAGCTATTGATGGTGACATGAATTAAGATGATGGTTTGATTGTGATAGATTTCTAAATAGTTTATAATACATGATATGCCCAGGTTCATATTCCTCGAGCCAAGCAACCAGATTATGTTCCTCCAGATCTGGATTCATCAGAATAATTACTTACTCAGTTAAATTCTCCTAGTCTCAGTTGTGTTTAGGATCTTGACTAGGTTTCTGGTAACTAGTCAATGATGTTTCTCCTATCACTGAGACATAGTCATGGTTGATTCAATAAGTACAAACAATGAATCGTGTCTATACATGACGTTGTAAAATAGTCATGATCGTCTGAACAATATCAACCAATGAATGAAACATGTCTCTACGTGACAAATAGTGGGTTATATTCTTCAATCTCCAAGTCTCAGTCAAAAACATTTCAAGAGCTCCTCATTCATACCAAGTTGTTGGAAGCTGATTCTAGAGCCAATTTCTATTACTATTTGACTTTTATTCTACAAATAAAACCAAGAAAATCCAACCCATATCCTGTTGATTACAGCCACGTTCAGAGATATTCGACACCTCTTCTGATGAAAAAATTATCCTAAATCTAAATATGGTTATGCAATGTTGAAGTTGAGTAGTTGACAAGCGATTATACGATGCTGATGCATCAAGGGCAATAATTTAGTTTGGTAAATGTTACAACCAGCAACTCGACAGATGGCCAATTTCTTACGCACAACCCCCTTATTGTCTATTCCTTTTGTTGCCCATGATATCGTCACAGCCAATTTTAGAAGCATGTATTGAACGGAGATTTAAGCAGTTCGCGTGGAATATCCAATATTCAGTCTATGTTTGGAATTGGTAGTATATATGAGAATAATCTCAAGATGTATTGTTTCCTAGATAGATTCCTGTTCGGATTAGGTTCTGGTCAACGATGTCTAGCCTAGTTGTGCTATGTTGCAGGCTACTGTTACAATTATTCATGGGGTCATCATCAGGGCTGTGAGTAGTTTCGGTTTTGGTGTGGGTTGTTAGATTGATACCTAAGCGTGTCGCATAGTAGTCAGACATGCGACTCGAGTAGCATATTCATGGTAAACCTCAACCCCAAAATGATGATACGAATCAGGTTTTACATGCTACGTCCTGTATGACTAGCGTGGTTGGAATATGGGGAGTTTACCTGTAGATAAATAAAGACGTTGTAGCCCTCTGATAGTTGGGACAAGTCTTCTACAATATTATATCGGAATCAAATCTAGCCACTCATTAAGCAATCTCATGAATTATTTCCAATGTCTGTGATAACAGACATATATATACAATATTGACAACAAGTTTTAAAGTCGATAAATTCGTTATGGTGGATGACATTCAATTCAATCAACTCAGAGAGATTCCCATTTGTATAGCTTTGCCTAAGACCTTCATATCCATAGATTCAGAAAGGGTTTGAATTTATTACTAATACTTATTCAGGGATATTCGTGTTCAAGATTTATATAGTCCGTAACTCTGAGCCTGATGATGGCCAGCAAGACAAAGGATAGCTTGACCTGTCATGTAAGATAAAACGGCGAATAAACATTATTTAGGAATAAAATAAAAAGAGTTGATTGGCCCAGAGTAGGTATGGGCATTGTGAATGTGGTCGGAAGCATCATCATATTAAAGTAGGGTCAAGTACGCAATATATTGATATATATGTATATACGTGTCCTATCCCTGTCCACGATTTATAAGCCCCTCACTGCCATAAACACCATCAATCTCTACTCTCCATCGCAATTCTGGGAATCAATATGAGTTACTGTTACACAGTTTGTTTGCACGGGTCTATATCAAGATAGAAATGTTAACAGTTTCGTCTTCATACTACAAACCGTATCTCCAAAAGCTCAGATGCTTATCTTACAAGACAACTACTCACTCCACCACATGACCACTCAAACACAATAGCATGCAATCTCGATTTGGTACTGAATCTCAGCGGCTTGCATACCTCAAAAGTGTGCGTTGCGCTCGGATCTGGAGTTCGGGTCCTCATCACTGTTCTGATTTCTAAGGATCTTGATCCTCAATTGGACAGATTTTCCAATTTGAGGAAACTTTTTCATAAAGTCGGAAGTGTGGACTTCTACTAATGCTTTGCATCATGAAGCTCCTCTTCGCTGGTCGCAGGAAAGGATGGTTAGTGGGAGTCAAGTTGAAAGAGCGGAAAAACTAACTGTTACCCTGCACCGTATCTTGAAATCGATATACACCGTAGATTTCTCCATCGGAATAAGAAGGATCGCTATCTGGCTGTATTGTTCTAGGATCAAATGATGCAAAACCTACCGTTGCGTCCACGGGATATCTTGCACCATTGCCGCAGATAAAAAATTCCAGTCCATACGCCGCAGGCACCAGGAGCGAAAGACCAGTCAGTGCCGCGATCGAAGAGGCATATGGAGCCTTCATTTGGAGGATGTCCTCGAGAAAATAAAATTGAGTGCTGGAGACAGTGAGCTGTCTAATTGTATAATCAAGTGCTTGGGGAAGAAAAAACTTTATGTGATGGGAATAGATGGATTTTGTTTTCAAGTATTCGACGCAAATGTTTCTGTCGACGAAAGTCAAAGGAGTGGTGCTTGACAATTTAAATGACTAATTTGGCAGGAAAAGACAATATTTTTACCAGATAATCGACCGGACCTTCTTTCAATATATAAGTATGCGTATTTAAATTACTAGACACTGCAGCATTTGGCTCTCGCTCCATGTTAAGCTAACTAGAAGGATGGACGAGCCATGCTCGGCCTACATGGCCTGTAAATCGTTGATTATTCGAGTCATACAACGCTAATTTCATAGTGAGAGGAAGAGTTATTTTTGTTCAGATGAGGGATATACTAGGGTAAATCATCTGATCTAGATTCATGAGGAGCACAACGAACGGTATTGCAACTGACCTTTGTTTCATTCTACTGCGTAAATTTCTCTGCTTGGCCTAGTTAGTAGCTCGATCGGAACGAAGACGGATGGGCCAAATAGAACAGAATAGAATTGAAGTCCCTCCTGAGTCTTTGACTGTGAAGGGTCAAATGGACAGGTGTGAGCTTTATCATATTCATAAATAATTTATAATGCACCCTACTGGACTTGTCCTTGGCGTCGAGGCAACTCTAGGTCTGCCATCCATAAACTCCACAACACGGCACTTTCTCGCAAAATTTTGACTAATTTGGATCACTGTGGATTAATTCTGCCAAGTAGCCCATGGCAACTTTGCAGTGCAACAGGGCACACCAGATGAAATTCCGGCAAGTGCGAGGGGGTGAGCCATAGTGTTGTGGTTATGAGCTGCGCGGATGTCATACTGCAGAGTCATGATGAGTGGATTATATTATATTTTGTGGGTGACAGTGCATAGACTCGTACAATATTATGCTGTAGGTATATGGACAGAAAGTATAGGAATAAACCTGAATCCCTTAACTGTTAGTACATCTATGAAACTATATACATGCTCGCCCAACCAGTACACTAGTGATATATGCTGTGGACTTGATTCGAACGCAATACCCTAGCCACGACAGCTGCAGTGTCTCATATCATAACACATAGTATCACAGTATTAAGATGCAGCTCATTAACGTACTTCATCCCTTCATACTTTTCGTGTTGGGGACAGGCAACGCATTAGTTCCGGACCTTTTTGCAAATGTAGAAAGTTTGTGATGTCCGCTTATTCTTTAGTCACCTATTACGCAGCATTCCAATGCAGCTTCAGGAATCCTCCTGGCCTGCTAGCAGGATATTTCAAGGGAACATTTGGGTGGACACAATCCACTATTTGTAGATTTACCAATGTTACGCTTTGATCGCTGGTTAAGCTAAGGAAGGAACCTAAGCGTTTTATTAGGATCAATTACGATAAGACTGAAAGAGGAAGGATGGACAAGTAAAGGTGAAATGGCAGTACTAGCCAGGAGGTCGAAGCAATATCATAGCATAATGGCTCCTGATTATACTTGGCTCGGTGGCAAGTGTTAGGCCTGGGGGAAAGTTAACAGTTAGTGTTAAGGTAATGAGTTAAATGGGAACGTAGTGACTTGGAATGTGTCACAATGTTTGTTCAGATGATTTGATACTTGGTAATGTGATTGCTGGCAGGTGTCTGATACCTTTCCAATACTGTTCATGAGACAGAACATAGACTACTTATATACTCTAATATTGTTGAAATTATGGAGTTCAGAGATGAGTCAGGTGATGCTTAATGGAAGTAATTGATTAAGGGTTTGGTTCTTGAGTTTTCTGTGATTTCTGTGTTGGGATACACCATGTCGATCCTACTAGGCTCGATAATTAGTAGTCCCGACCAACTGGTGTTTGGCGAACAGAGATTGCGTATACCCTTTGCTAGCGTTGTTTGCTGCTGTTGAAAGGAGATCCCGCGCGGGCTATCTATTGGGGCTAAAAGGAGTCTGGTACCTGTGTTTAATAGAGTAGTCAAATTCACATCCTTTTATCCTTCATTATTGCATAAGCTTCCCTTTACCAATAAAGTCCACTTACTAAGTAGTGGGTTATACATTTTAATAAATATGACCCATGTCATTGTCTACGTTCTCTCTCCTGACTTACTGCCAACAGCGTGCCAAGGTGTTGGAAATTCTGACTCTCGAATTTAGGACTCAACTACTACCTGTTTCGTCTCAGGTTCCCGACAAGATCGACTCTCTCTACACATGTCACGAGTGCGCTAATCGCGCCTACTGTTGCATATACAATTGGATATTTACGTACTACAGTGTACCTTAGATCATCATGGTAGATGAGAGGCGGCTGGTCATCACTAGGTTTGACAGGCACATGAGACTAGTGGGAATTTCTCCCCTTATATGTATAAGTCAAATGTTCACATAGTTGTAAAATATCAAGTCTTCTTTACTTCATCATATTTATCCATATAATATCATACAGAGTATATTTCCCAACACAAGGCAAAACTCTGCAGCTCATGAGTCAATCTCTCATGAGAGGCATCCGCTGTTCCGGTGGCTGGCGCGCGCAGTCCGAGTACGCGTCGCTCCAATGCCTCAATCACTTACGTGTAATATCCCAGCTGAGCAATCCTGAACCTAGCTGTTCAGGAACGACAGCAATCCATTCCATGGCTCGCGCCTGTGGTTTGTATACACACCACAGCGTCGCTCCAATCGTTCCCATACAATGTCTCAGCTCCACAGTCCTTAGTCTATTAATCGGGAGCGGAAGCAGTTGTATAGTTCCGATAGTGCGCTAGGTCTGCATGTACCTCTGAGCGCTATCCCGTAATTGCCCGGCGATATCTAACCGCTTATGGCTAGCGTGTGTGATCAATAGACTCTTCACGTCGCTACCCCAATTGTTGCCCTGCAATGACTCAACCCAGTGCTCCCAAGTCCGAGACTCAGGAGCAGCAGCAGTTGTATCCATGGTCAACGCACGACGTGCATATGCATCTGTCGGCGCAGAGTTGGTCATTGACAAGCGATATCACAACAGTTAGCAGATTCATGTACCAGTCCAAACTTTATAAGAAGCTGTAAGTAGTAGCCAGAGATTTCTTTTTTGTTCACATAGTTCAATAAATCGATTTATTCATTACCAACTCGGTTTCTGTCACAATGTTACGGCGTGCGCTAAGGATACTGGAGATCACCGTCTGCCGAAGGTAAGGTATTAATAACTGTTAGGATTACAGTTGCTAACAAAGGATACTTAGATATGATTTGATTGGCGAGGTGCCAGGTAGTCAAATGTTGTAGAAGTACAGAATAGTTGAAAGACACAAAATCAAGAAGTCGAGTTGACAAGCAGGCAATCAAGGCTGATGACTCAGGGTGCACAGAAGTAAAGAGAATGTAACGAATGACAAAAGACTGAGAATATCGGACTTTGAGAAATTTCGGTTATAATATTATGTAAATGCTAGATTGCGAGATCAAAGATCAAAAGAATGAAAGATTGAGAAGCTGGAGAGCTACTATGTGGCAGCTCCAGCTTCCTTATGTCTAACTCGAGACAGTACTTGAACTCAACTAAGACTATAGCAAATGTAGTTATGACGCCAGCCCCTCTATCTCTAGCTGTCGGAGTTTTCCCGGAAACCTTCTCAGTAAACCTTTTCCCAAAACCTTTCTTAAAACCTTCTCTTATCACCTTTGCCTGAGAACCTTCTCCTTGAAAGCTCTTCAAGGATGCCTGGCCATAACACACAATCTAAACTATATCATTCATATTGTCAGAATACTCGGGTGGTATTTATATCTCAAGCTTTCTGTAGCAGTAATAAAAATTGGTGGTTTACATATATCTTCTCTTTCTTTCTTCTAAAGGAAACACGTACATACAGCAGTTTTCCCTATCTCCTGACGCCATTCCTAAACAGGCAACTCATTACTCATCATCATATTAAGTCATAATTTCTATGATAATACATGGAAGTTGATTAAGTAATTAGGTCATTCAACACATACTCTTTGCCTGTTATTAAGCATATCGCAGATTTAGATAACTGTGACTTAGTGTCACAGATCAATGAACAGGCGCTGGTGCAACTATGTGGTTGATAGTATGTAAATTATCATTCTGAAGAGAAAACTACTTCAGTCTCCATCTATACACATATATATATATATATATATTGTCTATGTATTTGAGGCACAGTCCCTCCCTCTCGGTTCCAATGGGATTCTTCACATGTGTTGTTTGTTTGTTCATTAACGTGCTAGGCGAAGTAACTACCGTCGCACTCCTACTGGACCTTGAGCACAAGTAGGGTCGGGCCGGATCAGGTTAACTACCGTGCAGTACAAATGCCTCGTCCCACCTAAATGACCGGAACCATGCCATAATGCATCTATGTGTTGAACCATGGCAAATTCAGCAGCCCAGAATTGAAAACAAAACAAAAACTTTCCCGCGAAATCCTGCATTACAAAAGAAAAACTTAAATATCTCCCTTCCATCGTTCTGCCTCAGCCACCACGCGCCTGAGCCTCGAATCCAATCTCTCTGTCCATGCCAAGCCACGTAGGCCTTTGATCTATCACCTCCGAGTCACAGGTATCCCTGCCATCCCCCCGACTAGGCTCCGTGTATATTCCACTCTCCTGGACGTAGTTCCTTAACAGCTGTCACCCCCTTGATCCAAGCATTTTTTCCAGAGCCGGCGCCTTACGCTTTCCGCTTTTCAGCCGCCATGTTGCCAGTGTTTTTCGACACTGGACAAGGTGACCAATTGATTTTTCCCTCCCACACTCACAGTTAAGTGTAGCGTCAGCGTGATTGAAGCGGCGATGATATGCCACAAAGTCTCCATGTCCAGTTCGGGCAGCGATCAAGCGTGCGAAGACCGCTCTAGGTAGCGCTAGCTCTGGCGGTTTCTTACGCCGCATCTCGAGTTCAAGATCGACGTAGTGTTTGGGGCG